TTATAGATGATTATTCAAGGTATGGTTATTTATACCTAATGCAACATAAGTCTGAAGCCCTTGAAAAGTTCAAGGAGTACAAGACTGAAGTTTAAAATCAATTAGGTAAAATCATTAAAACACTTCGATCAGATCGAGATGCAGAGTATATGGACTTGAGATTCCAGTACTATATGATAGAACATGGAATCACGTCCCAACTCTTATCCCCTGGTACACTTCAACAAAACGGTGTATCAAAAAGGAGAAACAGAACCCTGTTGGGCATGGTTCGATCAATGATGAGCTATGCTTAGTTGCCTAGCTCGTTTTGGGGTTACGCAGTGGAGAATGCGGTTTATATTTTGAACGTAGTTTCGTCAAAGAGTATTTCTGAAATACCCTTTGATCTATGGAACGGTCGTAAAGCTAGTTTACATCATTTCCGCATTTGGGGATGCCCGACACATATGCTCATGACTAACCCAAAGAAACTGGAGTCTCGTTCAAAAGTATGCCTATTCGTAGGTTACCCTAAAGAGACGAGAGGTGGTCCATTCATTGATCCTCAAGAAAAGAAAGTTTTTGTATCGACAAATGCCACTTTCTTGGAAGAAGACCACGTTCGAGATCAGAAACCACTGAGTAAGGTAGTGATTAACGAGACTTTGAAAGAGTCTACGAACACGTCAACAAGAGTTGTTAATCAAACTGGCACCACAACAAGAGTTGTTCATGAAGCCAGTACATCACGTCAGTCACATCCACATTAAGTATTGAGGGTGCCTTGACGTAGTGAGAGGGTTCGTTCACAACCTAACCGTTATGTGGGTTTAACTGAAACCTAAGTTTTCATACCTGATGATGGCGTCGAGGATCCATTGACCTACAAAAACGCAATGGAAGATACTGACAAGGACAAATGGGTCAACGCAATGGACCTGGAAATGGAGTCAATGTACTTCAATTCCGTTTGGGAACTTTTAGATCAACCTGACGGGGTAAAACCCATAGGGTGCAAATGCATCTATAAGCGAAAACGAGACGTTGAAGGAAAGGAATAGACCTATAAGGCAAGACTTGTGGCAAAAGGCTACATACAAAAGGAAGGGGTGGACTATGGCGCCGCCCTTAGGCGCCCAGGCGCTGTCCCGGGTGTTTTTCGGTGCGTTTCCGTGGTTTCAGTATACGCTTCGAGGGCGGTTGTAGTCGTTTTCTCTTTTTTGTATCATTTTGCTTTCTTAGGGTGTCAAAAACCGTTCCAACTTTGCTATTTAATTATTTTATGCATTATGAATGTATATTTTAATTAAAATCATATTGCATATTGTATGCCATATAGTTTTAAAATCCCACCATAGGTTACATGCATAATATGTATGTTTGATATATARTATGTATGTATGGTCATGCATCATATAGTTATAAATGTTATAATGTATGAATGCATGTTTTTATTTTCATAATTAATATAAGTGTTGTATTAATTAGATGAAAATAAAGTTGCATTGAGCATGATATTACTTTGGATAATAGAATTGTTATATTAATGTATGCTTACAATGCATGATTATAGTTTTAATTTCATAAATTTTATAAGAGTTATAAAATGTGGTAGATAGAAATTAAAATCTAAAATAAAGAATTGCATGCAAACATAAGGTCTAAGTTTATTAATTTTAAAGGGGTTTAAAATTAATTAGACCTTAGGTTATATCTTCTAATGTGATTCGGGGGTAGTCTTTTATTTTGTTTTAACTAGGTTTAAAATGAAATGATAAAAGACTAAATATAAAATATTGCCTATAAGGGAACCCTGTCTAAGGAAGGTTCAGTCTAGGTTGAGGTATTTAAGCTGACCGTGAAGGAACACCTCTACTTGGGAACCGACCTAGGGGTTGAATTAGTCAATATTTTATATACATGCAATAATGTCGTCGGTTTATTAAAGTGTTTAGTGAACTAAAACATTATTGTACAACTACCAATATAATAGTTATATTGGGCCGACTAAAACATCACTTAGTTATTTTCACTTAGTCGGGATTTATCTGAGTAATATACCCTAGTCTTAGAATACTAAGTGGGAGCTAAAGAGAATATGTAATATACAACGTATATATTTGATATACAAGGTATATATAACATAGTTTCTTCTCTCTATCACGTTCTCCTTTATATTCACACTGTGAGTTCCATGCTCGGCCTCGTGTCTCCCTGGGCACAGCCTCCCTACGGAAGGTGAATGAAGGACGTAAGACAACACATCCTGCGGTCTCCGCCATTGGTTTGCAGCGTGAGGTTTCATACATAACCTGCGTGCCGTCTTGGAGCGACCATCCCTACGGAAGGTTCATTGTATGAAATCAAAAGCAAGGCAAACTCCAGAAATGGATAGGGGTCTCTTAGGTTTTGCTCCAATATTTTCCTTCCCTACGGCAGGATTATTGGGGTGGACCTCTGAGGTCCGAAATGATGGGTCACACTTATGGGGAGTTGTTATGTTAGTTAGAAATTTCCTGACCAAATAAACGATGACTAAAGTTTATAGGAATAAGAGTTATCCTGGTATAAAATTTAGTTGAGAGCGTCTCAATTCAGTGAATGAGTACCTGTCTTCCCGACGGTGGTTGTTGCTCTAAATCACTGAAGCGTCGTTGCAAAACAATTTTGTTAGGGTGCTTAATTACTTTTGCTAAAATTTGGTTCGGTTTAAAGACTAATGCATGAAACTGATATAGGTTGTTTTTACTTTCAGCATGTCTGCTTCCATTATTGCACTCCTAGCCGCTCAAAAACTTAACGGCGAGAATTACAAACAATAGAAATCGAATCTAAACACTATTCTCATGATAGATGATCTTAGGTTCGTCTTGCAAGAGGATTGTCCTCAAGCTCCTGCGCCTAACGCCACTATGGCTGTGCGGAACGCCTATGATAGGTGGATCAAAGCCAATGACAAGGCCAAGGTCTACATCCTTTCGAGTATATCTGATGTACTTGCCAAGAAGCACGAGGACACAGTTACCGCTAAGGAGATCATGGACTCGCTGCAGAGCATGTTTGGACAACCGTCCTCACAGGCTCGACATGAAGCTCTTAAGTTCGTTTACAACTCCCGCATGAAGAAGGGCTCCTCAGTGCGAGAACACGTTCTCAACCTGATGGTCCACTTCAACGTGGCTGAGTCGAACGCGGCTGTCATATACGAGTAGAGTCAGGTCAGCTTTATTCTGGAGTCTCCTCCGAAGAGTTTCCCGCCATTCCACAGTAATGCGGTTATGAATAAGCTTGAGTACACTCTTACCACGCTCTGAAACGAGCTGCAGACCTACCAGTCTCTTATGAACTGTAAGGGACAAGAAGGGGAGGCAAACGTTGCCACCTCAAAAAGGTTCAACCGAGGTTCATCCTCTGGAACCAAGTCTGCGCCCTCTTCTTCTGGAAGTAAGACTTTTAAGAAGAAGAAGGCTGCTGGTAAGGGTTCTAAACCTTACTCCGCTGCTGATGCTGCTAAGAGAGGCAAGGGCAAGGTTGCAGAGAAAGGAAAGTGTTTCCACTGCAATATGGACGGGCATTGGAAGCGCAACTGCCCAAAGTACTTGGCCGAAAAGAAGAAAGCCAATGAAAGTAAATATAATTTACTTGTTTTGGAAACATGTTTAGCGGAGAACGATGACTCCGCCTGGATATTGGATTCAGGAGCCACTAATCACGTTTGTTCTTCATTTAAGGGAATTAGTTCCTGGAGGCTGACTTTCAAGGTCAGAACGGGGGAGGTCGTCTCAACTGGGGCTGTAGGGGAGCTCAAGTTGTTTACAAATAAGAATATGTATATATTATTCGATAATGTGTACGTGGTTCTGAAAATTAAAAAGAACTTAATTTCAGTTTCTTGTTCGTTAGAACATATGTATTCCATTTCATTTCAATTGAATGAAGCATTCATTTCGAGAAATGGTGTTAATATTTGTTCTACTTTGCTTGAAAACAACTTGTATGTGCTAAGACCAACATAACTAAAGCAGTTTCAAATACCGAGTTGTTTAAAAATGCTAGAACTCAAAATAAAAGCCAAAAAGTTTCTCAAAAAGAAAATACCTATCTTTGGCACTTAAGATTAGGAAACATTAATCTCAATAGGATTGGGAGGTTGGTTAAGGATGACATTTTAAGTGACTTAGAAGACAATTCTTTACCACCATGTGAGTCTTGTCTTCAAGGCAAGATGACTAAAAGACCTTTTACTGGAAAAGGTTATCGAGCCAAAGAGCCCTTAGAACTTTTACATTCAGACCTTTGTGGTCCGATGAATGTTAAAGCTCGAGGAGGGTATGAATACTTCATCTCTTTTATAGATGATTATTCAAGGTATGATTATTTATACCTAATGCAACATAAGTTTGAAGCCCTTGAAAAGTTCAAGGAGTACAAGATTGAAGTTGAAAATCAATTAGGTAAAACCATTAAAACACTTCGATCATATCAGAGTGGAGAGTATATGGACTTGAGATTCCAGGACTATATCATAAAACATGGAATTACGTCCCAACTCTCAGCCTCTGGTACACCTCAACAAAACGGTGTATGAGAAAGGAGAAACAGAACCCTGTTGGACATGGTTCGATCAATGATGAGATATGCTTAGTTGCCTAACTGGTTTTGGGGTTACGCAGTGGAGACTGCGGTTTATTTTTTTAACGTAGTTTCATCAAAAAGTGTTTCTGAAACACCCTTTGAGCTATGGAAGGGCCGTAAAGCTAGTTTACGTCATTTCCGCATTTGGGGATGCCCGGCACACGTGCTCATGACTAACCCAAAGAAACTGGAACCTCGTTCAAAAGTATGCCTATTCGTAGGTTACCCTAAAGAGACGAGAGGTGGTCTATTCTTCAATCCTCAAGAAAATAGAGCGTTTGTATCGACAAATGCTACTTTCTTGGAGGAAGACCATGACCGAGATCATAAACCACGTAGTAAGGTTGTGATTAACGACATTTCCGAAGAGGCTACAAACACGTCAAAAAGAGTCGTTGATCAAACTGGCACTACAACAAGAGTTGTTGATGAAGCCAGTACATCACGTTAATCATATCCACCTCAAGTGCTGAGGGTGCCTCGACGTAATGGGAGGATTGTGTCACAACTTGACCGCTACGTGGGTTTAACTGAAACCCAAGTTGTCATACCTGATGACGGCGTCGAGGATCTATTGACCTACAAAAAGGCAATGGAAGATACTGACAATGACAAATGGGTCAAAGCAATGGACCTAGAAATGGAGTCGATGTACTTCAATTCGGTTTGGGAACTTGTAGATCAACCTGACGGGGTAAAACACATAGGGTGCAAATGATCTATAAGCGAAAACGAGATGGCAGAAGGAAAAGTACAAACTTTTAAGGCGAGACTTGTGGCAAAAGGCTACACATAAAGGGAAGGGGTGGACTATGAAGAAACCTTCTCCCCTGTAGCTATGCTCAAATCCATTAGAATACTTTTGTCCATTGCCACATATTATGACTATGAGATATGGCAAATGGACGTCAACACTGCTTTTCTGAATGGCAATCTTGAAGAAAGTATTTATATGTCTCAACCCGAAAGGTTCATAGCTCAAGGTCAAAAGCAAAAGGTTTGCAAGCTTAAACGGTCCATATATGGACTGAAACAAGCATCTCGATCTACGATCAAATCTTATGGTTTTGACAAAAACGTTGATGAGCCTTGTGTATACAAGAAGGTCGTCAACAACACTGTAGCCTTCTTAGTGTTGTACGTGGATGATATCCTACTCATTGGGAATGATGTAGGATACCTCATTGACATAAAGAAGTGACTAGCGACTGAGTTTCAAATGAAGGATTTGGGAGAAGCTCAGTATGTTCTTGGCATCAAAATTCGAAGGGATCGCAAGAACAGAACGTTAGCATTGTCTCAAGCAACATATATCTACAAGATGCTTGTTTGATATTCGATGCAAAATTCCAAGAAAGGTTTATTACCCTTCAGGCATGGAATTCATCTGTCTAAGGAACAATGTCCTAAGACACCTCAAGAAGTTGAGGATATGAGACGTATACCCTACGCTTCAGCAGTGGGCAGCCTGATGTACGCTATGCTGTGCACGAGGCTTGACATTTGCTATGCGGAAGGGATGGTCATTTGTTAGATACCAATCCAACCCAAGATATGATCATTTGACTGTTGTTAAGGGAATCCTCAAGTATCTTAGGAAAACGAGGGACTCCAAGCTCGTGTATGGCGCTAAGGATTTGATCCTTACAGGATACACTGACTCTGACTTCCAAACAGACAAGGATTCAAGAAAATCCACGTCGGGGTCAGTATTCACTCTTAACGGAGGAGCGGTAGTTTGGCGAAGCATCTAACAAGGATGCATCGCTGACTCCACCATTGAGGCTGAGTACGTTGCAGCTTGTGAAGCAGCAAAATAGGCGGTTAGGCTTAGAAAGTTCTTGACAGATTTGGAAGTCGTTCCAAACAGGAACTTGCCCATCACAGTTTATTGTGATAACAGTGGTGCTGTGGCAAATTCTAAAGAACCTCGAAGCCACAAGAGAGACAAACACATTGAAAGGAAGTACCATCTTATACGGGAGATAGTGCAACGAGGAGATGTGATTGTCACAAAGATTGCTTCCGAGCACAATATTACTGATCCTTTTACGAAGGCACTCACGGCTTTGTACAATTAGTCTAGGGCAAGTGGGAGAAATGTAATGGGTATAGTGTATGCCCTAGTTTATTGTATTTTCCCTTTGCTTTATGATAATGTACACCCCACTCGAGTTTAGTTCAAGTGCGAGTTTGTTGGGTGTGTTGCCCTAAACTTGTAGTTTGTATTTGTGTAAAAACAAATGTATATTCAATAAAGTTTTATTCAATAAATTTGTTGTTGAATTCATAGCATTGCATTGTCCAAAATCCAATAAACTAAACATCTGAGGTTATTTTAGTGTAACCGGGACAGTATATGTACTGGGTATATATTTGATATACTGGGTATCTATTTGATATACCCCTGATATACAAGGTATATATTTGATATACCCTGATATACAAGTGGATAATGTCCCGTGAATAACCTAAAGGGTCTATAGTATATGGATAAGGTTAGGTACCTTATCCTGGCAACACTATGGATACGGCTCACTCTGTAAAGGTTACAGATGACTCGATCCAGGTCGTTCGTGTGGAGATGTGCGAGTGAGGGTATCCTATCCAATGAGTTTGTATAAGACCGAACCACAAAATAGCAAATCTTTAGATGTAACACCATTAACTAATAGATTGCTGTTTCTTAGGATGACCAGGCAACTCATTCTCAATCCTTAGTGAGTTATGGACTCCTGCTCGTGAGGGCTCGTCCTTTGATCTGTATGGGTGAGAGTGGCCCGAGTTGCCGACTCAATATTTCTACCATTTTGGGGACGAGATCGAGTGGGGAGCTGGGAACATAACTTCACAAGATGAAATTCACTCCTCCCCGACTTTAGAGGAGTAGATGAGTGTTCTCTTAAATGCTGACTCCGGGACATGAACAAGGGGCCCCACCTCTCATTGGCCCGAGAGGGACTTCCGGTTATTGGTCGGACCATAATCGGGTTGTTCATTAGAGGAGCAATGGTATTTAAGGAGTAAGATGTAACTCAGGGGTAAAACGGTAATTTGACCCAACTTGAGTTACGAGCACTAGTGAAGGATTGACTCGTCATTAATGGTCGTATATCCATGGACACGAAAACATTCTGCAGTGAGAAGAGTGCAATTGCGGGTCTTTATTGGAATGACCTGTAGTTAACGAATCTTGATTAACTTGGTCAATGAGTTTGACCGATTAATCTTGCATCGTTGGAGCTTCTGATCTGTAGGTCCATTAGGTCCCCTTGCTAGCTCATAACGGGTAAAACGAGGATCAAGTTTTTTGAAGAATTTGAACTGTTCAAATTTAATAAGGGATTATATGTATATTGATACATTATAATATATAGTTAATTCTAAATTAAAACTATATATTATGAGAGAAATTATTTGAATGAGATTTAAATAAAATTAATATGAATAAGATTCATATTAAATCTATAGGTTAAAAATAATGTGCATAAGATGTACATTAGAACTATAGGTTATACGAGAGAAATGCTATAGAATATGATTCTAATTATGAGATAAATAATTAAGTGTTAATTAT